TGTGTTGCGAGACGTTAGGATTTGTTGGTTATGGGCACATATGGTGCGGTTCTATTGGGGTTCTTAGTGGAAGTCGAGCAGGAAGAGTAATTGGGTGTGGCCCGGTGGATGGCGTATCGGTTATGTCGTATCGGGTTTGCGTGGTATATGTTACTTGATTCACCGTGGGTGTAACGATTTGCTTTGGTTCCAGACATCAGATTGTGCGTAGTTGTCAATTTCGAGCATAGTGACTTGAGGTGTCCCATGGGGAGCAGTGTTTAGATAGGACCGCGCATTGCAGCGTAGCTATGTGGAGATATGATCTTGCGGGTTCGATTCGTGTGTTCTATTCTATGATGTGAGACGGGCTCTCAGCCTTGTGTTGTGGTGGTACTGGTGAGCTTGAGTTACAGCTCTTTCATTTGAGTCATTTCCATGATTTGAACATGTTCAGATCGTTGCTTATTGGTGCGCGTATTATGCTAGTTATGGCTTAGGCCTCTATTGACATGTCGTGTCGCCAGAGTGGTGTGTTGGACTAGAGGAGATCGTTGGGATCATTAATGAATAAAACGGATTCGATTTCAGCTTGTTTGATGGGTAAATATCGAGGTTCAGCTCACAAATTTACTATGGTCCTTGCCAAAGGAGAAGTAGCCTTATGGATGGTTGATCTGAAATGGTTATAATTTATTGCGTGTTAACTTTATCATTGGCAGTATGTGGAAGTGTTGGAAGGAGATTTTAGTTGTTAGAGGTTTTCTATCGGTATTCGGTTGTTAGGTGCAACTGCTGTGATTATAAGTTATCGTTGCGAGTGCTTGAGTTATGTGGTATATCATGTGATTGTGCCTGAGATAGCGGATATGGTCTGTTACAGCTTGTTTGGACTTGTTCACAGTATAAATGTGAGATTCTGATCGCATTGAGGATTTCAGAAGCAGAAATGTGATTCTATGTTTTATGGACTAGGATGGATTGTGAAACTCCAGTGATGTTGTGTTATCGAACCTATGTAAGATAGGGTGACGTGGGATCACCCCCGGGTATATGCATGGTAAAGTTATTCAGCTATTGGTTGGCTTTTAGAACAACTCTGAGTACGTTCGAGGACGAACGTGTGTTTAAGTGGGGGAGGATGTAACGACCCGACCGGTCGTTTTGAGCTTTTGCACTTTGATCGCCAGTTCTCGGGCATGACTTGCCCCGTGTAATGAATTATGACTGATGTAGATCATTGGTTTTGGTTTTCAGGAAAATTTGGAATGAATTTGAAAGAACAGTCTCAGTTGAAAGGTTTGACCAAGAGTTGACTTATTTGTATATGAGTTCGGATCGGAATTTTTATGATTTGGTTAGCTTTGTTGGGTGATTTATGACTTAGGAGTGTGATCGGGAGTGGTTTTGGAGGTCCGGTGTAGAATTAGGCTTGAATTGGCGAAGTTAGTATTTTAGCGAATTCCGGTTGATAGGTGAGATTTGATCCGAGGGTCGGAATGGAATTCCGAGAGTTGTTGTAGCTTCGTTATGTGATGTGGGATGTGTGTGTAAAATTTCAGGTCATTCGGAGGTGGTTTGGTTGGGTTTTTGATCAAAAGTGTGTTTTCGGAAGTTTTTAGAAAACTTAGGCTTGAATCCGATGTGAATTGATGGTTTTGGTGTTGTTTGAGGTGTTTTGATGATTGGAACAAGTTTGAATGAGGTTTTAGAATGTGTTGGTACTTTTGGTTGAGGTCCCGGGGGCCTCATGGTGATTTCGGATGGCTAACGGGAAGTTTTGAGTCTTGGAATAATTGCAGAAATTGCAGCAGCAGTGCAGAGGATTTTTGGTCATCGCGTAGGTGAAGTCGCGATCGCGTAGAAGGATTTTGGCAGGCTAGGTTATTGTTCTTCGCGTTCGCATTAGTGGGTTCGTGATCGCGGAGGGTGAGTTCATTGTGCTTCGCATTCGCAGGTGTTTGGACGCGTTCGCGTCGGAGGCTTTGGAGTCCAGGCGAGTTTGTTCTTCGCGTTCGCATGGAGTGGGACGCGTTCGCGTAGTTGTGGAAGTTGAAGCATCGCGTTCGCAGTTGTTTGGTCGCATTCGCATAGGTCATTTTTGAAGCCTGTGGTTTTAATGCTTCGCGATCGCGTGACCTTGGCCGCGATCGCGATGAAGGAATTGCTGGAACTGGGCAGAAGGTTATAAACATTTCATCCGCGAGCTTAAGTCATTTTTCCTCCATTGTTGAGTATTTTGAGAGCTCTTTGGGAGAAACTGAAGAGGGATTCAAAGAGGATTGATTGGAGGTAAGTTTTATGAACCAAAAACGTGATTATATTGTGAAATTAACCTAGAAATTCATGGAAATTTAGCTAAAAAGGGAAGAACTAGGGCTTGGGATTTTGAAATTTTAAATTGGAATTTGAAAGGCCATTTGAGGTCGGATTTGAGAGTTTTTGATATGTATGGACTCGTGGCGAGATAAAGAACCCGTTGATGTGAAAATTTCTGAGTTTCGAGAAGTGGGTCCAGGGCTCGGGTTTTGCTAATTTCGAGATTTTTGATATTTTTCGATTGCTTTCGCTTGGGCCTTGTTCCCTTAGCATATTGTGACGTATTCATTCTGATTTTGGATAGATTCGACGCGCATGGAGGCCGATTTGAGGGGCAAAGGCGTCGCGAGCTAGAGATTTCGCCGGTTCGAGGTGAGTAATGATTGTAAATTATATCCTGAGGGTTTGAAACCCCGGATTGCACATCGTAGTGCTATGTTGAGGTGACTTACACGCCGGTTAGCGAGCGTGGGGTAGAGCACCGTTGGGGGTGTGACTTGGTCCACCCCGATTGATGATTTTACCGCGTATTTGACTGAAAGTTATTTGTTATCATCATGTTTTGGGCTGATTGCCATATTTGGGCTTCGTGCCAACTATTTGAACCCTTCGGGGATGTTTATCACTATTTCCTCACCGTCTTGAATTATTACTTGAACTCAGTCCTGTTGATATCTACTGTTTTTACAACTCAACCACTTTTACTCAGATTTGAAACTTAAATGATATTTCTAAATGATGTTTTGGGCTTAGAACTACTGTTTTACTAATGCCCGAGGGGCTTGTGATGATTTTCGGACTGAGTGAGGACGAGGGCCATATATGAGGACATGCTAAGTGATATGAGGCCGAGGGCCTAAGATACATTTTTATGCCACGAGGTGGCTTGAGTGATGTGAGGCCGAGTGCCGAGAGATGATGCCACGAGGTGGCTTGATATTGCGCTTGGGCCGTAAGGGGCCCCTCCCAAAGTCTGCACACCCCCAGTGAGCGCCGTCGACGAAATATATGGATCGAGCTGCACGCCGCAGCTATATATAGATCGGACTGCACGTCGCAGCGATATGTGGATCGGGCTGCACGCCGCAGCGGTTACTATATGATACTATTCTGAGTGTGATCTGAGAGAGAGAGAGCCCGAGGGGCTGAGAGTGTTCTGAGAGTGAGCCCGAGGGGCTGGTACTGTTTTGAGATACTGCCCGAGGGGCGAACTTTTATGTGCTTATCTTTCATATTTACTTGTCTTTTTACCTGTTATACTGTGGTACTTGTGCCCGAGGGGCGAATTTTCTGTACTTATCGGCACTAACTGTTTTGAAATCATTGTGTAACTGTTGAAAAGGTCATTTTCAAAAGAGGTTTAAACTGAGCTAAGATATTTCTAAAGATTTCACAGCTTCACTGTTTTTCTCAAACGATTTTACACCGCTTCTATACAGCATGTTGGTTGCTTTACGTGATTTCTTACTGCTCAGTTGTTATTTGCCTTTATTACTCACTGAGTTGGAGTATTCACTTTACTCCGTGCACCTCGTGTGCAGATGCAGGTATTTATTCTCCCGGTAGCGGGTTTTGGCAGATCAGAGGCAGAGTTATAGGAGTTCAGCGAGGTGACTGCCAGCGTTCGCAGCACCGCTTTTTCTCTCTTTTGTTCATTATTCCTGTTTTGCATATTTTAGACCTTGTAGTTGTATTTACACTCTAATAGATGCTCGTGACTTGTGACACCCCGACTAGGGCTGTGTGGGGTTGTACTTCCGCTAATCAATATCATTAAATCATATTTAGACTGCTTATGAACTGTTTAACTGCTTAAAAGTGGTGTTCGGTAATGGTCTGGCTGGCCTTGTCTTCACGAGAGGCGCCATCACGACCGGGGCGTGTTTTGTGTCGTGACAGCCCCGTCCGAACATACCTACAAGTTTGAAATGATAAAACGGACTCGCTCGAACCCTAGGAATACCCGAAACAACGCTAAATCTAAGAATCACCCCCCTAAAACCAATTGAATCAAACTTATGAACTTCAAGTTCTTCAATCTACTTCCGATGTGATAAACCACACTTATACTACTCGAATTGACACTAAAATTTACGTGCAAGTCTTAAATGACACTACGGATCTATTACCGGTCTCGAAATTCCATTCGGGCCTCGATAACACAAAAACCCGCTCCAAACCAAGTTTAAGGAACTTCAAAATCCTTATGGAATCAACTTTCACTATTAGGCACCAAAACGCTCCCAGGTCATCCAAAACCCGATCCGGACATACGCCCAAGTCCGAAATCATCATACGAACCTGCTGAAACCTTCAAATCCGGATTCCAAGGTCGTTTACTCAAAACGTTGACTGAAGTCAAACTTGGCCTTTTAAGCCAACCTTAAGGAATCAAGTGTTCCGATTTCAACCCAAACTCTTCCAAATCCCGAACCAACCGTCCCCGCAAGTCATAAATCAGTTAAAGCAAGTACGAAAATTCTTATTCAGGGGAACGGGGTTCTAGAAAGCAAAATGACCAGTCGGATCGTTACATCTATAATGTATGGTTACATACTTATACTTGGATATATATATATATATATATATATATATATATATATATATATATATATATATATATATATACATACATCTATCTTAGGCAATGATCGCCCGTGCCAGCACGGGCCCAATATTTGATAAAGTACTTCAAAAAGTCATAATACAAACAATTCAAAGAATCTAATATAGAGAATAATTTACAGTTGATAAGTCCCAAAATTTGGATTCCAAGTTTTATTTAAATCATACACAATGCGTACTTGGGACATATACTTGTAACTCTTACACCAATAAATACTTATAAAGGAGACCTATTATTTTGCAAACCCAAAAGTGACCATCCTCGGGGGAATAGCAAAAGAACATTGAAAACTGTATATTGTACGGACGCATGAAACAATCTCAAAATATGTGCTTTGGGTTCAAGCAATATTGTAACCATGCCTTCCTCCAACACTTGATATGCAGTCTCAGGAGCTACATATTCAAATCAATCTGCAATAATTTAAGAGACATACATTAGAGTTAAAGGAGGAAACTAAGGAAACTCCATGGCGACAATAAGTTGTTGAAGATTATACACTTTATGTTTAAGGTAGATACTCATTAGCACAAACTTCATTAAGCCCCTAGTGTAGAAATATCATTCGCTGCAAATGTGAATTAGTTACAAAATAAAAGTCATAAAATTTACCAACCAAGGATAATGACGTACACATAGAATAACTCAGACGCGTATATATCATTGTCCAGTTTCTATGCTTAAACTACTGCTCTATCGGGTTAAGCTTCTTAAAATCCTTGAATTGAACTTGGTTAAGCAGCTCTGCAAGAATTTCTGCAATTAATCAATTTAGTTTGATTTACTTCTCATGGTCGATAGACATTGAGTCGCTAAAACACCACTAGATGCAACAATCTTTGCTAGAAGAAAACGAATAAGAACACACCACATATATTATTAAGAGATCTTTCTGTTAGCAAATTGAAATCAATTCAAGTATGTGCATCAATCTTGATTGGTAACTTTCGCCAAAACAATACCTGCTAGTGACAACTAGAACCCTCTGTTAAAAAGGGTAAGTCTTCCAAGCCTAAAATTTAAAGCAATAACCGCGAAACATTTGTTACCAGTTCATTCACAAACTGACAATCTTGGTCGACAGCTTCGCATTCACTACGAATATGTCACCAATATGAAGATGATTTATAGAAAAATAATAATACAATACATGCTTTCTTTTTGGGGCATAGTTCTGGAATGGGATGCCAAGAAAGTAAAGAGTAGATTTCAACTACAAAGGACATCTAATTAAGAATATAAATAATTTTTTCCTAACTGCAAGATATATAAGGGATGCACGCTTGTTTACCATGTAAAAACATTATTTTCTGATCGTGTATAAAAGATTGTTGGACAGAAATAGCATCCATATAAAAGAAGCAAGTAATTATTGACAAACCTACATGAAGACAAATAATGTAATAAATCCAAATTCATATTTTTCAAATTGTGGATGTGTTATTATGGAGACCTTTCTATAAGCTTGTGTGTTCTGCCCCAGTGTAATTTGGCTTCTCCTGAAAAGGCTTATGGATAGAATTGAAAGGGCGGCATTTCAACCTGAAAATCTTATGTTGAGAAAAAGATATGAGGAGAATCCACGAAGCATAGTAGCAAAAACTAAATTTTGTATTCTCTAACCTGGCATTACAAAATTCAAATATCTAATGAGCGTGTAAAGGAGATGCATCATTTGACAGTAACAATATGCAACACCGAAATGCTCTTCTTATAGCAATTCAGCACAGACATGTGTATCTTAATCAGCTATATTGACTGCTCAAATCATATCAACCACCGAGGAGGAGGAACATTGACATCTCACATTGAATTTTACATTACACATCAGAGATATATTTAGCTCGTGGAGTTACTTTGTTGGTCTCTTTTTTATAAAAAAAATCCTAATGTTATTTCTTATGTAAGTGAAGCAACAAATAATAGTCAGGCATTAGTGGTCAACCAGCCTAAAATCTACCTTATAAATTGAAATTTAAAAGGAATCTAAATTTATAGGCCTAGGATATACTATATCGTCAAAGAAATACTCTACTTCTAAATTAAGTCAAATGTTGTGGAATACACCACATATAGTATCCGGGATGTGCTAGAAGTTCAATACTTGCATTTCAGTTTGACATAGCAGGGAAAAAATGCAACCAATTTGTTAAAGAGGATGTTAAACAACTTTTCAATTAGCAAAATACCTATTGGCGATACTTTCTTGTTCTATTAACATGTACAATACCATATTGCAACACAAAGAAATGAAAAAAGATCAAACAGGCAATTTTATCTAAAAGAAAGAATTTTGAGTTTGTCTAATCTCTTATAAATTTGTAAGAGAGGATACTTTGAAGTAAACATATAAAATAATGAGGAGACCAAATCCAACAAAACCATCTAGCATTGTTCAAGTTTTGTATTCTGGGAATGCAAGCTTGACCATGGAATCAGTGAAACATAAATTAAAAGCATGTTCATAAAGCACTATTTGCTATCTAGAGAAGCAATCACCAAGTAGTTACTGACTTTCACATGGCCAGTAACGGCTTGCACCTAGTATGAGCAATAAATACATATATCAAATCTCTAAAAGATTTTAGTGACTTAAGTAGAAAGCTAAACTCCAAGATGCAGTAACTTCAAAAATGCAAGGCCAGGGCAATGTCAGCTTATACTTAGTGGAGTTCATGATATTTTATACCAGTGCCGATATGTAGATTGATTTAAGGTTATGAACCATCTCTTATGTCCTCCATCACGAGTTCGAATGGTTCCTTTCATTCATAAGTCATAATTGACAATGGCATTATAATTAATATATCGGCGAGATTGAACTGAATTATAAAATAACGGAGGTAGGCAACATAAATATTTTTCCTGTATTCAGATTGCTTAAAATCATTATGCACAGAGGTGGCAAGCAATAACGTTACATGAGTTCATTGTGAGATTAACTCATGATTCAAAGAAAAAGAAGTGTGTGAACATCTAAAAACTTTTCTTCCAAGACTGCATATAGCTAATGTGTCACGACCCAAAATCTACTATGGGTCGTGATGACGCCGGACACCGTTGTCAGGCAAGCCAACTTAATATTTAATTAAACTCCAATTTTAACAATTTTTGAAAAGACCAAAAATTTTCCTTTAAATTTCCTAAGTACAAAAGTAGTTGCTTCATTTCAAATTAAATAATAGCAATCAATACAAAACATTTCAAAAACATCCCAGAACCCGGTGTCACAAGTGCATGAGCATCTACTGATAAGGATATCAAATACAATACAACATCCATCCGGAATACAATGGACAGAAAGAAAATACAATTTTACTAGAAGGGACTTTACAAGCTGTGGGCCGCCTCGCATACTGCAACTCACCTAGTCCCCGAATCATCCGTGCTGCTATCTAAAGTAACATATACCTGTGCAACAAAATGCACAAAAGTGTAGTATGAGTACGTAGTCAACGTGTACTCAGTGAGTATCCCGCCTACCCTCGAAGGGGTAGAGACGAGATGGTCAACCTGGACACTCACTAGCGGTCCAACAATAATACACTAAATGTGCGAGAAAATCATGGATTCATATAGCATGTTCTATTTCATAAAGCTGTAAAACAGGTAAACACCTTTTTAACAATTAACAAAGAATTTCAAGATTTACTTCTCTTCATTTTAATCAATTCATCCCAAGCCATGAAAGGCAATATCATCATTTAAGATTTCTCATGCATCAATATATAAAAGATATCATGCACAAATCATACCGAGGCGACGGCCCGATCCAACAGAAAATAAATGTGCACTTGCCGAGGGTCGACGGCGCGCATATAGGTGCATCTATTTCCCCGCTCGCGAATTAATCATGCGACGCGGTCAACATGAAATAAAATCATGCATGCGACGCAGGTACACATAGAGATACATGCTCAGTCAATCAAGTAAGAACTTATCAGGGAGTGTTTATCAAGATATATTCAACTCTCTTTTTATAACCTTTAAGAAGTAAGGTTAAATCCCTTTTAGAAATTCATTTACAAATTCCATGTGATATAAGCAATTTAAACTATCAAGGAGTTTACAAATAATCCAAGTATTCATGCTTTTGGGTCCTAGACTACCCGGACAATAGCATAATAGTAGCTACGCACGGACTCTCGTCACCTCGTGCGTACGTAGCCCCCACAAATAGGGGCACATAGCCAAATAATTCACCTATGGGGGCATTTCCCCCTCACAAGGTTAGAAAGGAGACTCACCTCGCTCCGAAGACTCATAACCGGCATTCTACATTCCTCCAAAGACTTGCACCAACGCACAATGCTCCAAAACTAGCCAATGATTGTACAAATCCATTAATATATGCTCAAATATTCATAACAAACTAATTTATAGCAATTCCTAACTCCGATTAAAAAGTTGACCAAAACGCCATCGGGCCCACGTGCCCGGAATCCAAAAAATTTCGAAGATAAAGTTTACCCATGGCTTCACTAGCTCAATTGTATAATTTACTCCTAATTCCATGCTCAAATTCGTGGCTAAATTCCAAGAATATAATTTTCTAGGTTTTCACCAAAAACCTCCATTTTCTACAATTTTCTAAGCCTAAATCCATACATAATTGAAGTATTCAACTCAAAAATAGGTGGGGATAACTTACCTTAACATAGATGACGAAAATCCCCTCTTTGAAGCTCCCCAAAATCGCCCAAGCCTTGAAAAATGAGAGAAATGAACTCCAAATCACGATTTTAAAACAAGCCTTCTGCCCAGCATCTTTCGCATCTGCGGACCCTGGTCCGCTTCTGCGGTTCCGCAGGTGCGGTCACCAGGCCGCTTCTGCGGTCCTCCCCGACCTCCCCAGCTTCCGCTTCTGCGACCCCCTCTCCGCAGATGCGGTCCCACTTCTGCGAAACCTTGACCACATATGCGGTCCTCAAAATCCGCTTGTGCGGCTCCCTTTCCGCTTCTGCGGGACCGCTTGTGCGCTCAACCCACCGCAGAAGCGAAAATTCCAGCAACCAGATCCTTCAGCTGTCCAAAAATCCCATTTTCAATCCGTTAACCACCCGGAATCCACCCCGGGCCCCCGGGACCCCAATTAATCATACCAACCAATCCCAAAACACATTACGGACTTGCTCAAGGCCTCAAATCACATCAAACAACGCTAAAATCATGATTCAACCCCCAATCCAAGCTTTATGAACTTTAGAACTTCCAACTTCTACTTTCGATGTTTAAACCTATCAAATCACGTCCGATTGACCTCAACTTTTGTACACAAGTCATATTTGACATTACAGACCTATTGCAACTTCCGGAATCGGATTCCGACCCCGATATAAAAAAGTCCACTTCCGGTCAAACTTCTCAAAAACCTTCAAATTTCTATCTTTAGCCAAACGGCTCCAAGATGGCCTACGGACCTCCGAATTCACTTCCGATCGCGCTCCCAACTCCAGAATCACCATACGGAGCTATTCACAGTCTCGGAATCCTAAACGGACATCGACAACACTGAAATGCACTTCAAGCCAAACTTATGAAATTTCTTCTAAAATGCTAACTTCCACAATAGGCGCCAAAACACTCCCGGGTTATCCAAAACCCGAACCGGGCATACGCCCAAGTCCGAAATCATCATACAAATATGCTGGAACCTTCAGATCCTGATTCTGAGGTTGTTTACTCAAAGATCCAATCCTAGTTCGTTCTTTCAACTTTAAGCTTCTGAAATGAGAATTCTCTTCCTAAATCAACTCTGAACTTCCCGGAACTTAATTCCGACCATGCGCACAAGTCATAATACCAGATTTGAAGTTGTTCATGGCCTCCGACTGCTGAACGGAGCGCTAGGACTCAAAACGACCGGTCGGGTCGTTACATTCTCTCCCACTTAAACAAACGTTCGTCCTCGAACGTGCTGAGAACTATGCTGGAGTAGTCTGAAATCACTAATTGACACCTCATGTATCTTCCCGTGCCACCATAACTCAGTTGAGCATGTCAGCTCGATCAATTTTGAAGATATTCCCTTTTTATTAAAGCAAATAAGCCTTAGGGCCCAATTCCAACATCCGAAATTCTATGCCCGACCTGTTTCCAACATACGGTCACCATATCAATCACCACACGCTGTACCCAAACATGATTGTATAACTTTGCTGAATTCATACCTTGCATCACTTTACTCACCGGACCACGAT